GGGTGATGGGCGAAGTACGTTTTCAGGTGTCCTAAAACACGACTGAGGTCCCAAGTCGTTTGATATTTGAGTTTTTGGGGCCTCAATCGTTTTATGCCTTTAAGACAATCGTTTTATGCCTCTAAGAAACCTTCTTGGTTACTGTCGTTTCCAACATCGCCGGGCAGGATGACAGCTAACGCTGAGCGATAGGAGTTGAAGGTGCCATTAGCAGCATTCGTTTTTGTATACAAATGTTGTAAGAAGATGATTACCGCCTCTGTTTGGGTGGTGTAAACAGGAATTCCCTTTCGTAACAATATCTCTATAACTTGTAGCTGACGTTATATTGTCTTAAGGTGCTGGGAGTAATGGACGCTATTGCCGTGGTGATAGCCGCTGGTGGCATTCCCTTCAAGCGTAAGCCTTCCCCGATAATTTCCCTGCCACCAGGGTGAGGTTGGCTGCAAGTAGATGACGTGTCCTGAAAGGGGATGTTAATAGTGACTCGTCTGGTTCAAAAAATATAACTGGGCTAGTCAACAGTCTTTCGAAAAATGGGGACCATGGTTGTGAAGGCCAATGCGGCATTACCACTACGCCCTCAGCTTTGTGCGTAAGACTAGAGCAAACGGTGGGAAAGCGTAAAAGTAATTATAGTTCCAGGGAACAGTAAATACATCACATGCGATTGCGCCTGGATCTTGATGCCACGACACATATTGGGGCCATTTATGGTTCAACTGCGATGCAAATAAATCTATGGTGGGGCAACCAAACCGTTGAATAATTTGTTGGAAAGCTTGTTCATTGAGACTCCATTATGTATCTGTGGAGTGTTCGTGATTCGCAATCTGCGTCTATATTGTCTTTTGGAGCGGATATGTGCCGCGTATAATCATAAATCGCGTATTTCACACCACTGCCAAATTTCCATAGCTAAATCGCCTAGTTCTGGGTGTCGAACGCTACCCATTTTTGATATAGCTTAGCGCGGTGGTATTGCCTGTTCTGATCAGTATGTTGCCTGATCTGAGTGGTTTACAAAAAACATTTTAGACCAAAAAATGTTGCTAGTAATTCTAGATAATTGATATGTTTCGTTTTTCTTTCTCTTATTCCACCAACCGTGTCTATTCTCCCCGTTGCAGTGTGCCCCCCCCCAACCGTTTAAAGAAGCGTCAGTGAAAATGATTCGCTGATACTCGTCTTACTGAATAAAGTTGTTTTTTTTTTCTTTTTTTTTTTTTTTTTTTTCTTTACTCGAATTGCGGTGTTCCACCGCATGAAGTCTGGCAGAAAAACAGCTGACAGTTGTATTTTTGCTTTACAGTTTAAAGCATGGTGGGAAAGCGCTTTGCATTTTCCTCCTTCTAGTTGTCGAGTATATAGCCAACCGTATTTAATGGCGGTTGTCCGAATGTGGAGTTCTTGACGTTTCTCCGGAGGGAGAGCAATTGTCATGGTTTTTCTGTTGAATAAAAAACCCTAAGTACTGACATGTCTGTGAGGGGTGTAGCTGACTCTTTGATCATTGATTATGAATCCCAAGGATTGTAGGACGTGAACGGTTTTTCCCGTTCCCCGTAGGCAACCGGAATATGAGTTGCCAAGTATGAAAAAATCGCCTAAATATTTGACGCATAAAATACCTTGAGGACGCAAGTAAGTAACCTCGTAATTTTGCTAAATACATTCGGAACTATCGCTAACCCGAAAGGCAGCGCTGTAAATTCGTACAGGTTTTGTTCAAATTTAAATCTCAAATATTTCCGAAGACTTGAGTGAATTGGGATGAATAAATACGCATCGGTAAGATCGAGTGACGTCACATACATGTTAGGCTGTAAAAGTCGTGTGACGGTACGATAATTATAATTATAATCATCCATTTTGAAGTGAGGTGCCAAAATGAATTGGTTTAAGCGTTTTAAATTAAAGATGAACCTGGAGGGCAGCTTCGATTTTTGTCGAAGAAAATATGGGGACAGGTGTTGCTATCTCGATTGCCCCGGTGTTTAATAATTGGGATACGACCTCGGCCAAACCTGTGTTTTGGGTGCGTGGTAGCTTTCACGTAGGCGGTGCTACTTGATATGGAGTGGCTTGGAATGGGATTTTATAGCCCTTAATCCAGTTTAAGATGTTTGTATTTTTGGTGATCTTTCACCAGACCAAGACATAGTGACTTAATTTTACCAGCATAACGGTGGTTTACCTCAGTTAACGGGGTTGATGGCGATTGTATTTCGTGTGGCTGGATGCCGGGGGTTGCCCTCGGCATGATCTCGTCTCTCCCTGGCGGCGAGTCGGGCCTGCCCGGTTTAAAGACCTATTGCCAGACGTTGACTGTGATGAACCGACTGTTGGTTTGTTCTAGTTTGCCCCGGCGTCTTTTTTCCTGGGAGTCCCCGTGGGAGGGCCAGGAGGCGGGGCCTTCAGGTCGTAGCCCGACTTTTGGAGGGCTTTGGCAGTCTTTAGGCGCTCTGCAAGGACCTCGCCAAAAAAGGGAGGTATCAGTCTGACTTTGTGCAATGTTTCTTTTGCTGACTTGTTGAGATAGGGCAAGACTGGTGTCGCCCGAATTATGACATATGGTAAAAAAAAAAGTTTGTCAAATTTTTTATTGCGTCGGAACCCAATGTCAGAAGCTCTGACTGTGAAGGGGTGGAAGTCAATAATATATTGAAGACTTGACTCAATGGTGCCAGCCCAAGGCCCACGTGTTGCTGAGCCGAAAGTGCGTGGTTGTCTTTTTTGACGATCAGAGCGAGTAACGCTGGCATCAGTTTCGAGTTTAAAATTGGCTCCTGTAAGTTGGGGCAATTTTTTGGCAGGAAGTATTTATTTTTAAAGACCACGAACTATCCAAGCCGTTGGGTACATAAAGAGTCCAACGACTAGCGAGAGCCGTGTGCAAGGCAAACTCGGTAGTTTTTGATTCGGAAAGGATCGGCGCCAAATATGGTCAAGATCTCCTCCTCCAGAGCCGGGTCTTAGATCGCTAAAATGGGCGAGTCCGGTTCTGTCTCCGCACGAGACGTGGGGTCCGGTTCTGGCTCGGCGCGAGACGCTGAGTCCGCTGGTTTGTCGCTCGAATGTTCGAAGCGTGTTATAGCTCGCTGGCGCTGGTGTGATCGACGCTCGCACCTGTGTGTGGGCTGCGTGATCTGGAGCGGCTGGTGGACCGACGAGGACGCCGACTTTTTGCGCGTTCTCGTACGTCTGCTGGGCTGCTTTGACGACGACACTGCCGAGTGGTTACGCAGTGCCGTACATCTGAGTGTTGGCGGTCTCCGCGATAAGAACGCCGAGTCTTTACGCGTGTCTTATCGTGGGACAGGGAGCGGTCGCGACGGCGATGTTTTCGCCTTCGCTTGCAACGGTCTTCCAACGTTCGTAAGCGCCGTTTCAGCTCCCCGCGCGAAAGGCGAGCCGAGGACTCTGACGAGGCGTCTGAGGAGGTACGGCGATTGTCGGCTGGCATTGTTGCCTGCAAGAGATTGCTGGAAGTCTAAAAATGTTAGAAAGATTACCTGTGCAGATGAACAGGATGTTCTGATGCAACACAGTGAAAAGATAATTTGCTGGTTGCAGAGACTCGTGGTGTCGAGGCGGCCACAAAGGAACGAATGACGCAGCAACGGAGAACCGGTGGAGCAGTACCCAGAGAGGGGGAAATAACAATCTTTAAACTCAGTGGCGTAGAGTAGCACAAAGGGCATACTACCAGTATCTAAAATCAAGTGATATCGAGGACTGGACGTCGTGATATAATCGAAAAGTTGGAACATCAAAATATCGATTAATCCAGAAAACGAAAAATTTAAAAATCAAAAAATCAAAAATTGAAGAATCGAAAAATTTGAATATCGAAAAATCCCAAAACTGAAAAATTAAAAAAATTGGGAAATGGTAAAACTGAAAAATCGAAACATCGAAAAATTTGAAATTCGAAAAGCTGAAAAATCGAAAAATTTAAAAATCTAAAAAACTGAAAAATAAAAAAACTAGAAATCGGAAAATTGCAAAATCCAGGATTAAAAAAAAATCGAAAAATCGATAAATTATGTCGAAAAAATGTTGAAAAATTGAGAAAACGAAAGCTTGATAAATCGAGAAATTGAAAAATTGAGACATCGAGAAATTGAAACATGAAAGGGACGGGAAGTCAGTAAATCAAAATATACAGAAATCGAAATGGCATAAAATCAAAAAATGGTTATTATAATGATTTCGATTATTCCAGAAAACGAAAATTTTAAATAAAAAAAATTAAGAAATCAAAATTTTTAAAAATCGAAATATTGGAAACAAATAAAAAATATAGAAAAAAAAAAGAAAAATCGAAGAACTAAAAAAGTAAAAAATCGCAAAATTACCAAATTGTAAAATAGAATAATAACAAAATTGAAAAGCAGCATACCTTCAAAAACGTGCAATTGTAAAATAATTAAACTGAAAGAAAAATCAAAAACTTGAAAAATTAAATGTGAAATTTAATTAAAAATTGGATAACTGTAAACTCGAAAATTTATTACACTGTAAAATTATTAAATACAAAAATTGAACAATTGAAAAATGAAAAATCGAAAAATTGAAAAATCAAAAAACTGAAAATCCTAAAACTGAAGTCAAAAAATTTGGAAATGGTAAAACTGAAAAATCGAAACATCGAACATCTCCACTGAAAAGGCGAGAAATGGAAAAACCGAAAAATCGAGAAATAACATTAAATCGAAATATCGAAAAATTTAAAATTTGAAAAAATCGACAAATCGAAAATTCGGGAAAGCGAAACGTTTGTGTTTATTCCAGTGATAGTTTTTTTACAAAATTACTTGGATAATAATATAATAATAATAATAATAATTGTGGCAAATCAGCCTCAAGTGAACGTCAATGAATCAGTTTATCCAACGTGAAAAAAAATTCATGGCTCACTTTTGTTTAGAAACATCCTGAGCAATTTATAAGCTCTACGTTTGAAAAATCAACCAATTGGCACTTACATGTTTTAGGAAGTAAGGAATTGCTACTAGAACAAAAAGTTCCGGCGACGTATCTGGCTTTAGAAGACGTGGTCAATCACATAGCTGCTGAACGAAGAATGAACGGACTCGACCCGGTCTTGAACGCCGAACAGTACCGCACTATCGTGACAACCGAAATGCAACAGCGTTTCAATCGGGTGTTTCGAGACTGGGCGGAACTTCATCAAGCCACTCTATTTTTACACGACAATGGTACACTTCCACTTTTGAACCTATCCATTTCACTTTCTGTCACTATGTTATATATGTAGGGGTGCTACTTCACTACGACGACGCCACATTAAAAGACCTCTACTTCTTGGACCCGCAATGGTTGTGCGATATGCTAGCCCACGTCGTAACCATCCGCGAAATTAACCCATTCGCCCGCACTGGCGTAATGAAACTCGACGACTTGAAGCACATCTTCAAAGCTAGTAGTATCGGACCCATGGACACCAGAGGCTACATAGTAAATCTTCTCAATAAATTCGAAGTCGCGCTGACTTGGGACTCCCGGACTCTCTTAATTCCGTCTTTGTTGCCGTCTGAAGAAGATATTTTGTTGGCGCAGATGTATCCTGGTCAGTTTCATCCCCTTGTTAAGGTTAAAGTGCCCTTGAGGTCGCGTGGGTGGGCTGTGAGGAGTAAGAAAATCACTGTGTCGCCGAAGTCGGTGCTTTATAGGGATACGACGTCGCAGGGAAAGTTTCAGATGAGTTTGCCTTCGACGTCTACGGCGAAGAATGGTAATGACACGGTGGTAACGTAATTGATTTAATGTAAATGTTGTGTCGTAGATGAAGTTGAGGAAGAAGCAAAATATTACGTGACGAGTTCTCCGACTGATCAAACCATTACGAGGTTGCTCTTGATGTCGTATTTTCCGTCGGGGTTTTGGTCCCGATTGATATCCAGGATTTTGGCAGATGACAGCATTATTGACATAATTCGATCCTTTTTCATTTTGCCAAAAGAGGTAAGTGTTTTGTTCATTGTTTTTAATTAGCACTCTAATAAGAAACATTGATTGAAAGTTATATATGCAGGATTTCCCACGCCCCTAAAGTACAATAGGTACAACAATTCCTGCTTTTTTGAAAAATTATAAAAATTTATTTTGCGACTTTTGTGTTTTGGCTCTATTTTTACTTTACTAGTGAAAAAATGAAAAATTGAAAGTTCGAAAATCGAAAGAATAAAAAAATTTTCGAACAACTGAATAATGGAATTGAAAATTTGAGAAATTGAAAAGTAGAAAAAGTTAAAGAATGTAAAAATTAAAAATTGAAAAGTCAATTAATTGAGAAATGGAAAAACAGGAGAGTGGAAAAATTGAAAATTAAAAAGTAAAAAAATTGAAAATTTGAATATCGAAATATCGAAAAGTAAAAAAATGGAAAATTCGGAAAAGAAAATTTAAAAAATTGAAGAGTTGACAAATCGAAAACGAAACAAATTGAAAATTCGAAAACGAAAATCGAGAATTCGGAAAACCGAACATTCGAAAATCTGAGAATCCAAAATCGATAAAACAAAAATTCGAAAATCGAAAAATCCAAGAATTGAAGTATAGAAAAAACGAAATATCGAGAGTCGAAAAATGGAAATTCGAAATTGTAAAAAGTAAAAATAAAGGATGTAAAAATTTAAAATTTGAAAATTCAAAAAATCCAATCGAAAATTCCAAAAAAAGAATATTTCAAAAATCCAGGCATTGAAAAATTGTGAAAAATCGAGAAATCGAAAAGGGAACAAATTGAAAATTCGAAAAATCGAAAATTCAATGTATCAAGTACATATTAAAAAAAAAAACGAAAAATCTAGAAAATCGGAGAATTGAAAATCCGAAAATGTAGAAATCCAGAATCGAAAAAACAAAAAATAAATAATTCGAAAATCGGGATTTCGAAAAATTCAATGAAATAGAGAAAAAACGAAATATCGAGAGTCGAAAAATGGAAATTCAAAATTTCAAAAATTGCAATTTTAAAAAATGAAAACACCCAGAAATCGAAACATGAAAAGATCGAGAAATCGGGAAATTTAAAAGTCGGAAAATCGATAAACGGAAAAATCTGACATTAAAATATCGAAGAGTTGAAAAATCCAGAAATAGAAAAATTCCCAAAATTGAATTGGAAAGTTAAGAAATGGAAAGCTTAAAAAATCGAGAAATCGAAAAATTGAAAAATTGAAAAACTGAAAAATAAAAAAAAAACGAGAAATCCAAAAATCGAAAATTCTAAAATTTAAAAAATTAAAACTTCAGAGAGTCGAAAAATTGAAAAATCCCAGAACTGGAAATATAGAAAAATTGATGAATTGCAATATTGAAAAGTGGAAACTTAAAAAAATTGGGAAAATCGAAAAATTGAAAAACCAAGAAATCGGAAAGTCGAAAGATCGAGCAATTGGGAAAAAGAAACATCGAGAAATCGAAAGTGAAGGAGTCCAAAATTTGAAAAATCTGTAAATCTAAAAATCGAAAAAGTATTAACTTGAAAATTTGTAAAATTAAAATTAAAAAAATATCGAAACATCGAAATCGCCATATATCGAGAAATGGAAAAATTGATAAAACCGAAAAATCGAAAAATGTAAAATTTCAAAAACGAAAAATTGAAAAATCAAAAAACGAGAAATTAATAAATCGAAAAATCTTAAAATATCAAAAAAATTGAAGCAAAAAACGCAAAAATCGAGAAATCGAAAAATTGAAAAATCAAAAATCGAAAATTTACGAACGCCAAAAATTTAAATATGTATTGAAAAACCGAAAAATTTAAAAATTGAAAAATCGTAGAACTGAAATATCGGAAAATAGAAAAATCGAAAAATAAAAAACTTGTGAAATCGAAAATTTAAAATACTGATTCATTGAAAATTGAAAATATTTATCTTCAATTGAATAATCGAAAAATTGAACATAGAGAAATTGAAAAACTGGACAATCAAGGAACGGAAAAATTGAAAATCGAGAAATTGAAAAATTCCAGAACTGGAAATTTCAAAAATTGAAATTTTAAAAAATGGAAACACCCAGAAATCGAAACATGAAAAGATCGAGAAATCGGGAAATTTAAAAGTCGGAAAATCGACAAACGGAAAAATCTGACATTAAAATATCGAAGAGTTGAAAAATCCAGAAATAGAAAAATTCCCAAAATTGAAATGAAAAGTTAAGAAATGGAAAATTTAAAAAATCGAGAAATCGAAAAATTGAAAAATCGAAAAACTGAAAAATAAAAAAAAACGAGAAATCCAAAAATCGAAAATTCTACAATTGAAACTTCAGAGTCGAAAAATTGAAAAACTAGAAGAACTAGAAATGTAGAAAAACTGATGAATTCAAAAATTGAAAAGTACAAAATCGGAAGATCGAGCAATTGGGAAAAAGAAACAAGAGTCCAAAATTTGAAAAATCTGTAAATCTAAAAATCGGAAAATTATTAACTTGAATATATATATATATTGTAAAATTTAAATTAAAAAAAAAATCGAAACATCGAAATCGCGATATATCGAGAAATGGAAAAATTAAAAATCAAAAAACGAGAAATTAATAAATCGAAAAATCTTAAAATATCAAAAAAATTGAAGCGAAAAACGCAAAAATCGAGAAATCGAAAGATTGAAAAATCAAAAATCCGAAAAATTGAAGACAATCTGAATAGAGAAATCAAAAAGTTGAAAAATAAAAATTCGAAAATTTACAAACGCCAAAAATTTAAATATGTATTGAAAAACCTAAAAATTTAAAAACTGAAAAATTGAAAAATCGTAGAACGGAAATATCGGAAAATAGAAAAATCGAAAATAAAAAACTTGTGAAATCGAAAATTTAAAATATTGATTCATTGAAAATTGAAAATATCTTCAATTGAATAATCGAAAAATTGAAAATAGTGAAATTGAAAAATTCCAGAACTGGAAATGTCCAAAAATTGGGAAATCGAAAAATTCAAAACCGAAAAATCGAAACATCGAGCATCTGAAAGAAAAGAAACATCGAGAAATCGAAAGTGGAGAAGTTGAAGAATTGAAAAATCGGGAAATCGAAAAATTTTTTATTTGAAAAATTGAAAAATTTAATTAAAAAAGATCCAAAAATTGAAAACGTAACGTCGAAAATTTAAAAAATTGAAGAGTTGAGAAATCGAAAACGAAACAAATTGAAAATTCGAAAACGAAAATCGAGAATTCGGAAAACCGAACATTCGAAAATCTGAGAATCCAAAATCGATAAAACAAAAATTCGAAAATCGAAAAATCCAAGAATTGAAGTATAGAAAAAACGAAATATCGAGAGTCGAAAAATGGAAATTCGAAATTGTAAAAAGTAAAAATAAAGGATGTAAAAATTTAAAATTTGAAAATTCAAAAAATCCAATCGAAAATTCCAAAAAAAGAATATTTCAAAAATCCAGGCATTGAAAAATTGTGAAAAATCGAGAAATCGAAAAGGGAACAAATTGAAAATTCGAAAAATCGAAAATTCAATGTATCAAGACATATTAAAAAAAAAACGAAAAATCTAGAAAATCGGAGAATTGAAAATCCGAAAACGTAGAAATCCAGAATCGAAAAAACAAAAAATAAATAATTCGAAAATCGGGATTTCGAAAAATCCAAGAATTGAAATAGAGAAAAAACGAAATATCGAGAGTCGAAAAATGGAAATTCAAAATTTCAAAAATTGCAATTTAAAAAAATGGAAACACCCAGAAATCGAAACATGGAAAGATCGAGAAATCTGGAAATTTAAAAGTCGGAAAATCGACAAACGGAAAAATCTGACATTAAAATATCGAAGAGTTGAAAAATCCAGAAATAGAAAAATTTCCAAAATTGAATTGAAAAGTTAAGAAATGGAAAGCTTAAAAAATCGAGAAATCGAAAAATTGAAATACTGAAAAATAAAAAAAACGAGAAATCCAAAAATCGAAAATTCTAAAATTTAAAAAATTAAAACTTCAGAGAGTCGAAAAATTGAAAAATCCCAGAACTGGAAATGTAGAAAAACTGATGAATTGAAAGATTGAAAAGTGGAAACTTCAAAAAATTGGGAAAATCGAAAAATTGAAAAACCGAGAAATCGGAAAATCGAAAGATCGAGTAATTGGAAAAAAGAAACATCGAGAAATTGAAGTTGAGGAGTCGAAAATTTAGAAAATCTGGTAATCTAAAAATCGAAAAATGATTAATTTGAAAAATTGTAACATTTCAATTAAAAAACAAACATCGAAATTGTGATAAATCAAAAAATGGAAAAATTGATAAAACTGAAAAATCGAAAAATGTAAAATTTCAAAAACGAAACATTCAAAAACTAAAAAATGAAATAACGAGAAATCAAAAAATCTAAAATATCAAAAAAATTGAAGAGGTGAAAAACGCAAAAGTTGAGAAATCGAAAAATTGAAAAATCAAAAATCCGAAAAATTGAAAACTTGAAAATATGAATCGAGAAATCAAAAAGTCGAAAAATCAAAAAATCGAAAATTTAGAAACGCCAAAAATTGAAATTTGTATTGAAAAATCGAAAAAATTAAAAACTAAAAAATTGAAACATTCTAGAACTGAAATCTCGGAAAATAGAAAAATCGAAAAATAAAAAACTGACTGATATTGACTGATTGATTGAAAATTTAAAAAATGTAGAAATTGAAAAATCCTAAAAATGAAATATATAAAAATTGAATATTGAAAACTTGAAAATAGAGAAATTGAAAAATTCCAGAACTGGAAATGTAGAAAAACTGGGAAATCGAAAAATTGAAAACCGAAAAATCGAAACATCCAACATTTGGAAAAAAAGAAACATCGAGAAATCTAAAGTGGAGAAATTGAAGAATTGAAAAATCAGGAAATCGAAAAATTTTTGATTGAAAAAAATTGAAAAATTTAATTTAAAAAAAATCCAGAAATTGAAACCGAAACATCGACATCTCGATAAACCGAGAAATCGAAAATTTGGTAAAACTGAAAAATCGAAAAAATAAATATAACGAAAAATTTTAAATTTAAAAAACGAAAAATTGAAAAATCTAAAAACTGAAGTATAAAAAAACAAGGAATCGAAAAATCTAAAATATCAAAAAATTGAAATATTTCGAAAAATTGAAAAACCGAAAAACGCAAAAAACGGGAAACCGAAAGGCCGAAAAATTGAAAAATCAAAAATCTGAAAAATTGAAGAATTGAAAATCTGAAATCGAGGAATCAAAAACTCGAAAATTTAGAAACGTTAAAAATTGAAAATTGTATTGAAAAATTGAAAAAATTAAAAACTGAAAAATTGAATAATCGTAGAACTGAAATCTCGGAAAATAGAAAAATCGAAAAATAAAAACCTCGTGAAATGGAAAATTTGAAAAATCGAGAAATCAAAAAATCCTAAAAATGAAATATCTAAAAATTGAGTAATCGAAAAATTGAAAATAGCGAAAGTGTAAAATTGGAAAATCAAGGAACTGAAATCGAAGAATGTAAAAATCAACAAAGTGAAATATCCCAAAACGAAAATATCGAAAAATTGAAGAATTGAAAATCTGAAATCGAGAAATCAAAAAGCCGAAAAATCAAAAAAGCGTCAAAAATTAAAATATGTATTGAAAAATCGAAATTTTTAAAAACTGAAAAATTGAAAATATATAATAGAGAAATTGAAAAATTGGATAATCAAGGAAATAAAACATCTAAGAATTTAAAAATCAAAAAAGTGAAAAATCCCAAAACGACACATAGAAATCTCGATAAATCGCGAAATCGAAAATTTAAAAAACGAAAAATTGAAAAATCGAATAGCTGAGCAATCAAAAAACGAGAAATCAAGAAATAGAAAATTTTTAAATATCAAAAAATTGAATCGAAAAACGAAAGTCGAAAAATCTCGTAAAATTGAAAAATTAAAAATCCGAAAGATCAAAATCGGAAATCGAGAAATCAAAAATTGAAAATTTAAAAACTGAAAAATTGAAATATCGTAGCATGAAATATCAGAAAATCTGAAAATTAAAAAATAAAAAACTCGTGAAATCGAAAATTTGAAAAAAATCGAGAAACTGAAAATTTCTAAAAATGAAATATCTAAAAATTGAAAATATAGTGTTTGAAAAATTGAACAATCAAGGAACTGAATAAACGAAGAATTTAACAATAAAAAAAGTGAAAAATCCCAAAACGAAAATATCGAAAAATTGAAAAATCAAAAACCCGTTAAATTGAAGACTTGAAATTTAGAAACGTCAAAAATTAAAACATGTATTGAAATATCGAAAAATTTAAAAACTCAAAATTGAAAAATCGTAGAACTGAAATATCGGAAAATAGAAAAATTGAAAAATCCCAAAGATGAAATATCTAAAAATTGAGTAATATAACTAATAGAGAAATTGAAAAAAATGGATAATTAAGGAACTAAAAAATCGAAGAATTTAAAAATCAAAAAAGTGAAAAATCCCATGTCGAAAAATTTAAAAATCGAAACTTGAAAAGTCCAGAAATTAATTTTTTTTTCCAATTTCGATGTCCATGATAAAAGTTGAACACGGATTCATGTTACTTTTTTCATGATTTCAAAGCATTCGTTTTTGCAGTTTCAAAGTAAAATTGGAAGATGTTATAGTTTCGATTTTTTTTTCCAAAAATGTTGATATCTAGGGTAAAAAGTGAACACGGTTTTATGAATGAGATATGAAGGAGTCTCTTATTTTATAAAATCTAAATAATTATTACTATTGTAAATTTTCGAGATGTTTATCTAAATTTTGGTTTGCGTTTTACCATCTACACCATATTCCTAATATACACATAAAATTGGACTACAATCAGTCCAGTAGTTTCTGAGAATAAAAATCCGTACACACGAGAAAAAGCGAGAGAGAGTTGAAGTACTGGACCTCGTTCTTATTTACAGGTGGCCCAAGACATAGATCTAGTCAAACTCTTGGATTTAAAAGCGGAATGGGTGCTTTGGCAAACCGGCCTCCAACTAAAATACGGCGACATAACTCTCTTCCGCATGAGAGAAGTCTTACACAATTCAGCGGCATACTACAGACAACTAAAGTGAGTTACACAAAACCCCGTGAAACCTCTCCAAGAAAAATTTCAGGTTTCGCTTGAAACAAGACGGCGTGTGGTGTGACGTCGACCTCCAAAACACCTCTATCCTAGAAATACACTTCCCCGTCGACTCCCTCGTAATCAAACCGATAATCGCAGAAAGTACAGATCCGAATAAATACACCCTCAAGAGCGACCTCGTCATCAACTGTACTCCGGAATCGACCGCCCAACTATTGGCTTTAGCAGTCGATCACGTCGATATTCTTCTGGAGGATTGGTACCCCACTCTAGGGACTAGGTTTGTGCATACATCCGAAGGCAAATTTTTGGTGACGCGCCTGGTGCCTTGCCCTCGCTGTTTACAACAATCAAACGAAGTCGACCCGAATTTCCCCAACACGCCTACTGATCTAAGTCAATCGAAACACTTCCTTGACGCTATGACTCAAGTCGATCCAGATGTGGAGCGCAGCCGAATACGTAAATCTCAAGAGTCGTACACGTCGGAGTGTGATAGCGGCGTCGGTCCGGACTCTACGGGTTCAAGTAGGATGCCTTCCATGGAAGGACATCCTGGAGTTACCACGGAGGATGTTAATGCGAATAACCAGCTGTTTTATTCGTGGATGGTCGAAGAGTGTATTCTTGCTTCGTACGGCACGCGATTCGTGACTTGTCCGAACCATGGCGACGTCACTCTGGCTAGCATAGCACCAGATACGGTAAACTATACAATCGCGTGTGTTCAGTTGCTGTAGCGGTGTTGTAGATTTTCCTGGATTTGGGCGAGCGCTACATAATCAAGTCGGAAAACGTGAAGAAAGGACGATTATTGGGTCGAGGCGCTTTTGGTTTTGTGTTCAAAGGGACGTGTAAAGTCAGAGGAAGTAATACGATGATCGACGTAGCTATGAAGATGTTGCAGCCGGTCCAACCCGGACCCAACGCCCGACAATCCGCTATTGTCGCCTATAAAGCGGCACAGGGAAAGTGGGATCGAGACCCTTTGCAGTACGCTTGTAAGGCGTATTGTACCGCCCGACAAGAATTGAACATTTTGCTTTCTCTGCGGCACCCAAACATCGTCCCGTTCGTCGGTGTTTGCACTAGTCCTTTAGCTTTAATTCTAGACTTAGCTCCCCAAGGTGCCTTAGATCTCGTTCTTAGACACTTCAGGCGATCGGGTGCCAAAGTGGGACCCTACACTCTGCAGGCGATTATCTTACAAGTAAGTTTCAAGTATTGTGATTGGCTTTGTGTAAATAAAAATGTGACACAGGTGGCCAAAGCGATCGAATATTTGCACCGACAACACATCATCTACCGGGACTTGAAATCCGAGAATGTGCTCGTGTGGGAAATGCCGCCGCCGTTCGTGGATCATCCAGACCATCCAGTTCACATTAAAGTGGCAGATTATGGCATCAGTCGGCTGACTTTGCCGTCAGGTGCCAAGGGATTCGGTGGGACTGAGGGTTTTATGGCACCTGAGATCATGCGCTACAACGGGGAGGAGGAGTACACGGAGAAAGTGGACTGTTTTTCGTTCGGGATGTTCATTTACGAGTTGCTGACGTTACATCAGCCTTTCGAAGGGCACGAGTCTGTGAAGGAGTGTATTTTGGAAGGGGGGAGACCGCCGTTGACCTATAGGGTAAGTGTGCATATCTAAATCCGGTCTTTAGTGACGACTATATAAGTACTAACATAACAATAATGTTTAGGAGACTTTGTACCCGAGCTATTTCCTGGATTTGATGGTTTTGTGCTGGTCGCAACAACCCAAAGATCGACCTTCAGCCAGTCAGATAGTTTCTATAGCCAGTGCCCCTGAGTTCACGCATTTGAGCGATGTGACGTCATTGAAGCACGAAGCGTCGGTGGTGGCGTCGGCTAGTGCGGCTGTGACGCATATTACAGGTGAGACCACTTTTTAACTGACCTTTGTAAATTTTCAAAAATTCGCATTTCGTATCAATTCTTTCGAAAATGTTACTCCGTGACCATCAATCATGTCGAGATCTACGTCCCTGAATTTTTTCACAATTTTTAGACAACTTTTTTAAAAGTGAAAAATTTTCAATGGTCCCCCCTCCTTCAATTTTCGGCCAAATTTTGATATTTTCGAAACTTAACTAAACACATTTTCTTGTAGATTTCGAGCTCTAGAATTCACTTCGGGAATCGTTTCTTTGATAACTGCAACCGTTTTTCCAGAATCGACCGTTGAAATATCGAAATTTTTAGAAATTCTCAAAAATTCGCATTTCGTGCACATTCTTTCGAAAATGTCGCTCCGTGACCATCAACACAATATATTTTTGGAATTAGCATGTCGAGATCTACGTGCCTGAATTTTTTCACAATTTTTAGACAACTTTCTGAAAAGTGAAAAATTTTCAATGGTCCCCCCTTCTTCAATTTTCGGCCAAATTTTGACATTTTCGAAACTTAACTAAACACATTTTCTTGTAGATTTCGAGCTCTAGAATTCACTTCGGGAATCGTTTCTTTGATAACTGCAACCGTTTTTCCAGAATCGACCGTTGAAATATCGAAATTTTTAGAAATTGTCAAAAATTCGCATTTCGTGCCGATTCTTTCGAAAATGTCACTCCGTGACCATCAACACGCTATATTTTTGGAATGAGCATGTCGAGATCCACGTCCCTGAATTTTTTCACAATTTTTAGACAACTTTTTGAAAAGTGAAAAATTTTCAATGGTCCCCCCTTCTTCATTTTTCGGCCAAATTTTGACATTTTCGAAACCTAACTAAACACATTTTCTTGTAGATTTCGAGCTCTAGAATTCACTTCGGGAATCGTTTCTTTGATAACTGCAACCGTTTTTCCAGAATCGGCCGTTGAAGTATCGAAATTTTTAGAAGTTCTCAAAAATTCGCATTTCGTGCCCATTCTTTCGAAAATGTCACTCCGTGACCATCAACACAATATATTTTTGGAATCAGCATGTCGAGATCTACGTCCCTGAATTTTTTCACAATTTTTAGACAACTTTTTTAAAATTGAAAATTTTTCAATGGTCCCCCCTTCTTCGATTTTCGGCCAAATTTTGACATTTTCGAAACTTAACTAAACACATTTTCTTGTAGATTTCGAGCTCTAGAATTCACGTCGGGAATCGTTTCTTTGATAGCTGCAACCGTTTTTCCAGAATCGACCGTTGAAATATCGAAATTTTTAGAAATTCTCAAAAATTCGCATTTCGTGCCGATTCTTTCGAAAATGTCACTCCGTGACCATCAACACGCTATATTTTTGGAATCAGCATGCCGAGATCCACGTCCCTGAATTTTTTCACAATTTTTAGACGACTTTTTGAAAAGTGAAAAATTTTCAATGGTCCCCCTTTCTTCAATTTTCGGCCAAATTTTGACATTTTCGAAACTTAACTAAACACATTTTCTTGTAGATTTCGAGCTCTAGAATTCATTTCGGGAATCGTTTCTTTGATAACTGCAACCGTTTTTCCAGAATCGGCCGTTGAAATATCGAAATTTTTAGAAATTGTTAAAAATTCGCATTTCGTGCCGATTCTTTCGAAAATGTCACTCCGTGACCATCAACACGCTATATTTTTGGAATCAGCATGTCGAGATCTACGTCCCTGAATTTTTTCACAATTTTCAGACAACTTTTTTAAAATTGAAAATTTTTCAATGGTCCCCCCTTCTTCAATTTTTGGCCAAATTTTGACATTTTCGAAACTTAACTAAACACATTTTCTTGTGGATTTCGAGCTCTAGAATTCACTTCGGGAATCGTTTTTTTGATAACTGCAACCGTTTTTCCAGAATCGGCCGTTGAAATATCGAAACTTTTAGAAATTCTCAAAAATTCGCATTTCGTGCCGATTCTTTCGAAAATGTCGCTCCGTGACCATCAACACGCTATATTTTTGGAATCAGCATGTCCAGATCTACGTTCCTGAATTTTTTCACAATTTTTAGACGACTTTTTTAAAAGTGAAAAATTTTCAATGGTCCCCCCTTCTTCAATTTTCGGTCAAATTTTGACATTTTCGAAACTTAACTAAACACATTTTCTTGTAGATTTCGAGCTCTAGAATTCCCTTCGGGAATCGTTTCTTTGATAACTGCAACCGTTTTTCCAGAATCGGCCGTTGAAATATCGAAATTTTTAGAAATTCTCAAAAATTCGCATTTCGTGCCGATTCTTTCGAAAATGTCACTCCGTGACCATCAACACAATATATTTTTGGAATCAGCATGTCGAGATCTACGTCCCTGAATTTTTTCACAATTTTTAGACAACTTTTTGAAAAGTGAAAATTTTTCAATGGTCCCCCCTTCTTCAATTTTCGGCCAAATTTCGACATTTTCGAAACTTAACTAAACGCATTTTCTTGTAGATTTCGAGCTCTAGAACTCACTTCGGGAATCGTTTGTTTGATAACTGCAACTGTTTTCCCAGAATCGGCCGTTGAAATATCGAAACTTTTAGAAATTGTCAAAAATTCGCATTTCGTGCCGATTCTTTCGAAAATGTCACTCCGTGACCATCAACACGCTATATTTTTGGAATCAGCATGTCGAGATCTACGTCCATGAATTTTTTCGCAATTTTTACACAACTTTTTGAAAAGTGAAAAATTTCCAATGGTCCCCCCTTCTTCAATTTTCGGTCAAATTTGGACATTTTCGAAACTTAACTAAACACATTTTATTGTAGATTTCGAGCTCTAGAATTCACTTCGGGCTTCGTTTCTTTGATCACTGCAACCGTTTTTCCGGAATCGACCGTTGAAATATCGAAATTTTTAGAAATTGTCAAAAATTCGCATTTCGTCCCGATTCTTTCGAAAATGTCGCTCCGTGACCATCAACACGCTATATTTTTGGAATCAGCATGTCGAGATCTACGTCCCTGAATTTTTTCACAATTTTTAGACAACTTTTTTAAAAGTGAAAATTTTTCAATGGTCCCCCCTTCTTCAATTTTCGGCCAAATTTTGACATTTTCGAAACTTAACTAAACACATTTTCTTGTAGATTTCGAGCTCTAGAATTCGCTTCGGGAATCGTTTCTTTGATAACTGCAACCGTTTTTCCAGAATCGGCCGTTGAAATTTCGAAATTTTCAGAAATTCTCAAAAATTCGCATTTCGTACCGATTCTTTCGAAAATGTCACTCCGTGACCATCAACACAATATATTTTTGGAATCAGCAAGTCGAGATCTACGTTCCTGAATTTTTTCACAATTTTTAGACAACTTTTTGAAAAGTGAAAAATTTTCAATGGTCCCCCCTTCTTCAATTTTCGGCCAAATTTTGACATTTTCGAAACTTAACTAAACACATTTTCTTGTAGATTTCGAGCTCCAGAATTCACTTCGGGAATCGTTTCTTTGATAACTGCAACCGTTTTTACAGAATCGCCCGTTGAAATATCGAAATTTTTAGAAATTCTCGAAAATTCGCATTTCGTGCCGATTCTTTCGAAAATGTCACTCCGTGACCATCAACACGCTATATTTTTGGAATCAGCATGTCGAGATCTACGTCCCTGAATTTTTTCACAATTTTTAGACAACTTTTTTAAAAGTGAAAAATTTTCAATGGTCCCCCCTTCTTCAATTTGCGGCCAAATTTTGACATTTTCGAAACTTAACTAAACACATTTTCTTGTAGATTTCGAGCTCCAGAATTCACTTCGGGAATCGTTTCTTTGATAACTGCAACCGTTTTTCCAGAATCGGCCGTTGAAATATCGAAATTTTTAGAAATTCTCAAAAATTCGCATTTCGTGCCGATTCTTTCGAAAATGTCACTCCGTGACCATCAACACGCTATATTTTTGGAATCAGCATGTCGAGATCTACGTCCCTGAATTTTTTCACAATTTTTAGACAACTTTTTTAAAATTGAAAATTTTTCAATGGTCCCCCCTTCTTCAATTTTCGGCCAAATTTTGACATTTTCGAAACTTAACTAAACACATTTTCTTGTATATTTCGAGCTCTAGAATTCACTTCGGGAATCGTTTCTTTGATCACTGCAACCGTTTTTCCAGAATCGGCCGTTGAAATATGGAAATTTTTAGAAATTCTCAAAAATTCGCATTTCGTGCCCATTCTTTCGAAAATGTCACTCCGTGACCATCAACACGCTATATTTTTGGAATCAGCATGTCGAGATCTACGTCCCTGAATTTTTTCGCAATTTTTAGACAACTTTTTTAAAAGTGAAAAATTTTCAATGGTCCACCCTTCTTCAATTTTCGGCCAAATTTTGACATTTTCGAAACTTAACTAAACACTTAACAAACTTAAAAGTGATTTTTTTTTTACAGATGATGGCTTATGCGGATCCGAAATGTGGTTAATGTGTTCCAATTCTCGAATCGACCTCTTGTTAGCGGCCGACCGCGGTTGGCTCCAGTATCACACAATGGCGCTTCCTATCAGAGCCACCGCAGCGTGCACCGTGGGGAATTCCGTATGGATCGGAGACTATTCGGGAAACCTCCACGCTTATTCGTAAGACCGACCCGCATTGATTGACCATTACCGACAATTTACGATTTCAGTGCCAGCGATGGCTACAAATTATTTTCCTATGCCCTCGAAACTGAACCAAACACGAATGTAGAAGCTCTCCTTTACTTACCGCCGTTGAAGAGAGTAGCTTGCGCCCTCTCCAACGGCCGATTATTCCTGGTGAATTCGGACGCCGTTCCCACCACCCCCACAGCGGCAGAGGGTACTTTCGTGATGACCGAACTGGGTTCGAGTTCCACCATAAATTGTTTATGTGCGATTTTTAAAGACGCCGGAGCGTAAGTTCGTACTTTGTTTGTCCGTTTTTGTTTGATAAATAGAAATCGTAGGGTTTGCGAACTGTGGTGCGGCGAATCCAACGGCCAGATCTCCATTTACACGATCAAAGACCACGTGGTGGCGGGTCACGAGACCATGAACCACTACCAGCCCGTCATCGAACAAGTCAACGTGATGAATTTGATAGCCGCCGAGCACAACGTGTGGTCGTACGTCCGGCCAGGGTGCATTATTTACCAGTGGGACCAAAAAAGTAGGACCATCATCAACAAGCTGGACTGCTCGAAACTCGTACCGTGCTCGGAGAGCCTCAAGTCGATAGCGATCGAGGAGCATTTGAGTCCCACCAATTGCCAGGTGACGAGTTTGGCTGTGCTGAACGAAGAGTTGTACATAGGAACGACGTGGGGGTGCGTCATCATCGCCGAAAGGGCCACGTTGCGCCCCATCACGATTTTCAGGCCTTACGAAGAGGAAGTCAAAGCTATCGTGCCGTTAGCGATGTGCAAAAGTATTAACGAGAGTCACGACAATACGCCGCTGATCGCCACTATTGGCAGGGGGTACAGGAATTTGCTGTCCAGGTACACGGACGTGCCAGTCAATATAGGACATTCTTTACAAAGTCCGATGGCTGGCAACGCGCCAGTGTTCGCGAACAAGCAAAATATGTTCGTTTTGTTGTGGAGGGCGGAACACTGGAACGCGGTTTGAATTTTTGAGTGTTTGCAATCTAGATGTGTTTCATTCCAAGATTCTGAGGTTTTCGTGATAATTATTTGCGGTTTTTAATTAACGAGTTGTTGTCCCTGTTATGTGATTTTATTATACATGTATTTTTAATTTTTATATATATTTTTTTTACTTTTTAGCTGTGATTTTTATCAGTCATTTTCAATTGTTATTGCTGAAATTTTTATTGAATAAAAGGTTGATATGTTGTATTTTTGTGGTTTATTTTTCGGCGCCAAAAAGTTTATTGGGAATAATAAGAGTGTATAAGTGGAGAAGTGGTAAAGATAAAAAATTATTGAACTGTTTCATAAAATTAAATCAATAAAAATGAATACGTTTCAAATGGTAATTTTTCGTAGAAAAATAAGGATTTTGCAATTAAGTTCCGCCCCCATGCTCACGACGAACAAAGAAAAATCGTCAAACCTGAGACAGGGCGGGTGGGCGGGGCTTATGATTTGACTTTTTTTTTAATATACATACTCTTCCAACAAACTGGTAATTTTATCCCCCACACTTCTCAACAAATTTACCATTTTAAATAAGTTTTTAGTTTCTTGTCTTGAATAGAAAACTACTTCCATATAAGAAAAACAAAGACAAAATACAAACCCCGCCCACCCGCCCTCATCTCAATTGTGACGAATTTTCTTATTCGTCGTGAGCCGAGGGGCAGAGCCTAAAAAAATGCTTATTTCTCTAGAAGAATCTACCTTGTGATGTTTTTAAGTATGATGTTGTTGAAAGAAAAGTATATATGTTAAGAACGAAAAAAGGTAAGATTAAGTCCCACCCGCCCGTCCCAACGTCAATTGTGATGAATTGTTTATTCGTTGTTCGACCAAGAGGCAAAGTTAGTAGCTGAAGTTATCCGGAATCAATATGAAGATGTGAATTGTTTAATTTGTATACAACAATATAATAAACATTTAAAAATGAATTCTACTGAAATTTCTAATTTTAAATAGTAGTACATAGTCGTATTCACACCTAAATCTCGCCATCATTCTTTTCTCCTTTACACACTCTCTCTCTCTGTACTTTGGTACTTCATCCTTTACTATTTTTCTATACTCTGCATTATATCTAGACTCCGATATTCTCGATCTGCGTTCTTGCTTATCTATATCCTTATTTCTTACACTCAGTTCTTCTTTCATACTCCTTCCCATTTCTCTCTTTCTTTCTATTTCTCCACATGCATATCCCTTTCCTTCACAATACTTGTCCCTCAGCCCCGTAGCTACGGGGGGGCAAGAGGGGGCTGAGCCCCCCCTAGCAGTTGTGGTTGCCCCCCCTGGAAGACTTATACATTATAAATTTCAAATTAGTAATAAAATTTCAATATAATGCCGATTGCCGAAGCATATTAACTGGCCCCACCCGCCCCACCTTTATTTTCTTACAGGGTATATTATTTGGCAATATCACACTACCGTTGATGTTGACCGTATAAAAAAATGAACATGTCACATTTTATTCCATAGCCTACTATGTACTTGAGAAAAGTCAAAAATATTATATGGATTTTCTAAAAATTGAGCTTTTATTGAAATGGACAAAAAATCGACAAAAAATTGTGAGATGTAGATCTCGATGAGCTTAATCAAAAAACATAAGGTCTTTGGTCCCAGACCAAGATTTTTCAAAAATTCGGTTCCAAAGTCGACATTTCAAACTTTCTCAAAAATTACATTTCTTTTCGCGGCTCTGGAAAAATTGTACGAATTTTCGAAAAAGTAAAACCAAAAAAAAAAACATTTGGAGATCGAAATCAATAAAAAGATCCCTTCTGCTAGTTTTCGAAACCGCGTGGGAAAAGTCAAATTTTTTTTATAGATTTTCAAAAATTGAGCTTTTGTTGAAATTGGCTGAAAATCTACAAAAAATTCTGAGATGTAGATCTCGACGAGTTTAGTCAAAAAACATAAGGTCTTGCTGCTATTCGGTTTCCAAGTCGACTTTTTAAAATTTCGCAAAAATTATACTCCTATTTCTTTTGACGATTCTAGAAAAATTTTACAAATTTTCGATCAAATAAAACCAAAAACAACATCTGAAGATTGAAATAAATAAAAGAATGACTTTTGGTAATTTTTGGAAATGCTTAAGAAAAGTCAAAATTTATTAGTTTTCAAAAATTGAGCTTTTGTTAGAGTTGACAAAAAATTCTGAAATATAGATCTCGATGAGCTTAATCGAAAAACATGTTCATGCTCCCGGAGCAAAATTTACGAAATATTGGGTTTCTACCTAAAATTTCTAAAAAATCTCAAAAGTGACTTAAAAAAAGTTATTTCTTTATGCGATTGTGGAAAAATTCGACGAAATATCAAAAAAATAAAACCAAAAATAACATCTGTAGATCGAAATCAATAAAGAGATCCCTTTTGCTAATTTTCGAAGATGCTTGGGCAAAGTCAAAAAATGTATATGGATTTTAAAAAATTGAGCTTTTGTTGAAATTAACAAAAAATCAACAAAAAATTCCGAGATGTAGATCTCGATGAGCTTAATCCAAAAACATAAGGTCTTGATGGTCCCAGACCAAGATTTTCGAAAAATTCGGTTTCAAAGTCGACATTTCAAAATTTCTCAAAAATTACATTTCTTTTGGCGGCTTTGGAAAAATTGTACAAATTTTCGAGAAAATAAAACCAAAAACAACATTTGGAGATCGAAATCGATAAAGAGATCTCTTTTGCTAATTTTCGAAAACGGTTGGGAAAAGTCAAAAACATTTTATTGATTTTCAAAAATTTAACTTTTGTTGAAGTTGACTGAAAATCCACAAAAAAATCTGAAATGTTGATCTCGACGAGCTCAATCAAAAAACACAAGGTCTAGATGGTCCCAGATCAAGATTTTCGAAACATTCGGTTTCAAAGTTCAAAAATTACATTTCGTTTGGCGATTGCTGAAAAATTTTACGACTTTTCAACCAAATAAAACCAAAAACAACATCTGGAGATCGAAATCAATAAAGGAATCCCTTTTGGTAATCTCGAACGTGCTTGAAAAAAGTCAAAAATTTGATACAGGTTCTCAAAAATTGCCATATTTCTTCCGTCGATTCTGGAAAAATTGTAAGAATTTTCAAAAAAATTGAATCCAAAACGATTTTTGGAAATTGAGATGAACAAAGGAGTCTCTTTTGATAATTTTTGAAAATGCTTGGGAAAAGTCAAAAATTTTATATGGGTTTTCAAAAATTGAACTTTCGTAAAAGTTGACAAAAGATTCTGAAATATAGATTTGGACGAGCTTAAAAAAACATGACAGGTTCATGGTTCCGGATCAAAATTTTCGAAATACTCGGTTTCGAGCTCGAATTTTCAAAATTTCTCAAAAATTACCATATTTCTTTTGGCGATTGTGGAAAAATTGTACGAATTTTAGAAAAAATAACCAAAAACAACATCTGGAGATCGAAATCAATAAAGGAATCCCTTTTGGTAATCTCGAACGTGCTTGAAAAAAACTCAAAAATTTGATACAGGTTCTCAAAAATTGCCATATTTCTTCCGTCGATTCTGGAAAAATTGTAAGAATTTTCAAAAAAATTGAATCCAAAACGATTTTTGGAAATCGAGATGAACAAAGGAGTCTCTTTTGATAATTTTTGAAAATGCTTGGGAAAAGTCAAAAATTTTATATGGGTTTTCAAAAATTGAACTTTCGTAAAAGTTGACAAAAGATTCTGAAATATAGATTTGGACGAGCTTAAAAAAACATGACAGGTTCATGGTTCCGGATCAAAATTTTCGAAATACTCGGTTTCGAGCTCGAATTTTCAAAATTTCTCAAAAATTACCATATTTCTTTTGGCGATTATGGAAAAATTGTACGAATTTTCGAAAAAACAACCAAAAACAACATCTGGAGATCGAAATCAATAAAGGAATCCCTTTTGGTAATTTCGAACGTGCTTGAAAAAAGTCAAAAATTTTATACAGGTTCTCAAAAATTGCCATTTTTCTTCCGTCGATTCTGCAAAAAATGTAAGAATTTTCAAAAAAATTGAATCCAAAACGATTTTTGGAAGAAATCGAGATGAACAAAGGAATTCTTTTGGTAATTTTCGAAAATGCTTGGGAAAAGTCAAAAATTTTATGAGTTTCCAAAAATTGAGCTTTTGTTAAAGTTGACAAAAAATTCTGAAATACACATCTCGACGAGTTTAAAAAAACATGACGAGTTCATGGTTCCGTACCAAAATTTTCGAAATATTTGGTTTCGAAGTCGGATTTTTAAAATATGTACTAAACATGCAAAAAAATAAACTCAAACAAATTGGATATTACCTATATGGCCACTACACAAATTTTTGGATGCAGTACAGCTGTTTGTGAATCTACATTCTCTGTTTTAACCAGCATTTTAACCAAGTACCGTACTAATTTTTTGGACTTCGACAGGTTTTTACGAAAATTTAGCGTAAAAAATCGACGTTTCCAATTATTTTAATGTTCTTTCAAATATAAAAACTCAGAAAAAATAAAGTAGTTATCTGAGTGTATTATTAAATTATAAATATTTCCACTCTCATTTTCTCCCTTTTTGTTTCTTCTCTCACTATATACCCTGGCGTATACTTTTCCAATCCCAATGTCCATTTTAAGTATTTTTCTTGCACTCTCTCTATTTCTTCATATTCCCTCAATCCTCAAATCTCAGCTCCGTACATGAATACACTTTTGAACAAACTATCAAACATCATTTTTCTCTTATAATCATGTCCAAATGTTTTCTCTCCTATTCCTCATACTATTCCTATCACTTTGTTCGCTTTTCGGACCATTTCTTGAATATGCGCTTTATCTGAGTTATTGCTCTTTAATATATATCCTAAGTACTGGAATTCTTTCAACTATTCAATCTTCTTCCCTCTCCATGCCCACTCTTCCTTCCCCTTTCTTACTTTCTTTCCAAACACCACCATTTTTGTTTTTTCCACATTCACTTCCAATTCAACCCCCAAAACAACTTTGCAGACTGGAGGTTGAAAATGCTCCAAACAAGTCAAAACTCGATATTTCTTAATTTCTCAATACGAATATTGTTGATACAAAATTTCAACCCGTGCAGAGAAATCGTTAAAAACTACCCCCAAAACAACCTTGCAGACTGGGGCTTAAAAATGCTCTAATCGAGTCAAAATTTAACATTCGCTAGTTTCTCAATACGAGGATTATCGATACAAAATTTC